TCACAGAATTAAACCATAATAGCGGTTAAACGCACTGGCGAACGACTATCGTGAAGTTGACCGAAGCAACGAACAACAACGCTCAACCGGGATACCGGAAATAACCGGAAGTAGATCTTTATTCCGCGCTTTTTTAACATGTTTGAAGGTGCACGACACCGCTTCAGGGCTGGCGGAGAACAGATGCGCTGTCACCTGTTGTAAAACAAAATATGTCAATTTATATATTTGCAAGTGATTCAAGGATACATGGCATAACAGATAAGTAAAATCCATCTTTGGAGTGTGACAAAGTGCATAAGATAAATAGAAATGCAATTGAGTATTATGGAACATTTATTACATTTATTATGTGGGGAAATCGTGGAATTTGTGCCATAAGTTGTCAGGAGGTTAACGTTAGAGAATGTATAGTGTGTCTTGATGATGTTTCGTCATCTTACCTGAGTACTGAGGCCTGTTGACTTTGTATTTTGCTTTTTTACATGGTTTGGATGAACTGGAGCACAACATGAGAAAAAGTGAAGGTATGTCAAACATCATTCTTTCTTTTTATGTTTGTGCTTAGATGCTTCAAATATAAATTATGCCTGCATATGAATACTTATTACAAATAATTTTAGAATTAAATTAAAATGAATTAATTGTTATGCATTAAAAAAAATTTGACCTGATTGTGTGAAGGTCCAACAAGTCAGCCAACAAGTCAACATCCATGTAAACTCGGTAACACTTTACAATAAGGTTCCATTAGTTAATGTTTGTTAATGTATTCACTAACATGAACAAACCACGAACAATACATTTATTACAGTATTTATTCATCTTTGTTAGTTAATGAAAATACAGTTGTTCATTGTTAGTTCATGTTAATTCACAGTGCATTAAAGGGTTAGTTCACCCAAAAATGAAAATTAGCCCCCAAATTACTCACCCTCAAGTCATTCTAGGTGTATATGACTTTCTTCTTTCAGACGAATCCAGTCGGAGTTATATTAAAAATTGTCTTTGATCTTTCAAGCTGTTTAATGGCATTCAGCGGGTGTTGCATGCATGTTGTAAAGTGTTACCGTAAACTCTTTCAATGCTGTTTAAAAGTTTTATGTTTTAATACCAGTGAACAGTGTTGGGGAAAGTTACTTTTAAAAGTAATGCATTACAATATTGCGTTACTCCATTAAAAAAGTAACTAATTACGTTACTTAGTTACTTTTTATGGAAAGTAATGTGTTACGTTTTGAAAAAGTAACTTTTTCTCTTGTAAATTAAAAAGTAATGCGTTACTTTACTAGTTACTTGAAAAAAGTAATCTGATTACGTAACTTGCGTTACTTGTAATATATTACCCCCAACACTGCCAGTGAATGTGCCAATGAAGTCAAAGCAAATTCAATATTCACATCATTCAATCCTGTTTAAAGAGCTATAAAGTGTGTCCTTGAATATGCACCAACACACATAACATGAATGAGTAATTCTGAAAATCTATAAGATTTAATCTAAAAACTAATCAATAGCAAAGTTGTAAAGACATTAGATTATTAAAGGTTTATAAAGGCCACATATCGATCAGAACAGACATTTATGATCCTGAACCGATGGCTCCTGCACCAGTAGAAGGAGATCAGGGCGGTGTGGGTTAACAGCATCATAGTCATATAATTACCAACCCCCCTTCATATCATCAGAGACGCAGTGTAGTCAGACAGCCATTGCAGGAGTATCAAGAGAGTGTAAGAAATGTCGCAAATAAACATCGGATAGAGGGCGGAGAATCTGCAGGCGAAGATAAGCGTGCCATGCGTTCATCCAAAGATGATTTATGGTGAAACGAGGGTGTGAATAGGCACTGGTGGGTTGATGACCGGCCGTAAAACACAGGCGGGAGAGATGAGGAAAGACGAAACAAAGGGAGGAGTAAAAGAGAGAGAGTGAAATGGTGGTAGATAAAGCACAAGACGGGGCCATGAGCTCTGTGCCGCCTTACGACTCGCTACCAGCTCGGCCAAGCCCCTGCCGTGCAAAAGAGTGGGAAAGAGAGCTGCACAGTGCTCAAAGACTGTCTTCCCCACTTCGACTGGCTTTACCTTCCGTTTCCCGACGGCCTTCGGCACTTCCTGGATATCTGCTCTCACCCTCCCGAGAGTACACTGACCAACAGCAACGTCTTTTGTTATCGCTGTGCTCGGAGGCCTCGCTGGCGCCCCCTGTGCCTGCAGTGGGTGCCGCCCCACCGTGCTGCCGGGCGGTGGGAGTCATGCCCTTGCTGCGCCTTGCACTCCTGATTTTCAGCTTCCTTTTTTGGGCAGCAGGCCTTGCAATCTTCACCCTAGGTGTCTGGGCGCAGGCTTCGTTGTCCGACTACATGCTACTCTCTGCGAACCGCTACCCAAATGCGCCAATCATCTTGTTAGGCACAGGTGCTGCTGTGTCTTTCGTTATCGCTGTGCTCGGAGGCCTCGCTGGCGCCCCCTGTGCCTGCAGTGGGTGCCGCCCCACCGTGCTGCCGGGCGGTGGGAGTCATGCCCTTGCTGCGCCTTGCACTCCTGATTTTCAGCTTCCTTTTTTGGGCAGCAGGCCTTGCAATCTTCACCCTAGGTGTCTGGGCGCAGGCTTCGTTGTCCGACTACATGCTACTCTCTGCGAACCGCTACCCAAATGCGCCAATCATCTTGTTAGGCACAGGTGCTGCTGTGACCGCTTGGGGCTTTTTGGGATGTTTGGGAGTGGCTGCCAACCTTCCTTACCTTCTGCGGGCATACGGCTTCTTCCAGTTGGCCACACTCATGGGTGGACTAGCGGTGGGTCTCTCAGGGCTCTTTTACAGGGAGGATATCGCTGAAGGTTTCCGTAGCGGGCTTAAGAAAGCTGTTTTGGACTATGGAGAAGACGAGGGCCACGCAGATGCACTGGACAGCCTGCAGAGGGCGCTTGAGTGCTGTGGCGCTGAGGGTTGGCGTGATTGGCTCATGTCTGATTGGGCTATTCAAGATGCTGTTTACTCAACAGGAAGTTTGGGGAATGATTCCTCTGTGTCATTACCAGACAGTTGTTGTATTAAACGTAAAGGCTGTCGCAATAGACCATTGCCAGAGAGTGGATTCAGGAACATCAAGCTCGCAGGGATTCACACTCACGGTTGTTTCCTCAAAGTCTTCAGCTTGGTAAATGACAATGTCTTTCATATTGCAGCAACAGTCCTGGGCCTTGCTTTCACCCAGGTGGCAGGTATAGCCCTCGCATGTCTGCTTGCCAATCGTCTTTCACCCAGACTGCGAAGACGAGCCCGTTGAAATAAAAAAAGCATCAAGAATTTGCTTTCTCTAGACTTTCATATACTTGCTGCAGTTTCTTGAGTTCAGATCAGTTTTTACAGAAGAGACCAGTAAACATTTTTTGGACAAATGCAACAAATAAACACTGCAACTGTGTTGTAAAGGTTAGATTGAATGTCTAGGTAGAGTAAAATATGTGCATTATCTTATATATAATTAACTTTCTGATTGTTGCATGACTCTGAATGACTAATGTTTTTGTCCAATAGAACATTTAGCTTTCATTACTGACTGAAATATTATATATAAAAAGTTAGAAATTGTCTATATACTGTGTCTCATATTCTGTAAATTGTTTTTCTATTTATGGCCCATTAGATATGTTACACTGATTGTCGAGTGCATGGGGTTTCTAAACAGTATACTGATTTGCTCTTGAATGCTTCACCGGGAGGTAATTGTAATTGTACATTGATTATATAAATATTGTCAATTAAAAGAAAGAAAAAAGACAAAAATATGTATTGTTCTTAAAAATAAACATAAAATAATAACAATATTAAATTAATTTCTAATACAGAATGCATGACCAAGTGCACATGTTGTATTAAACCTTGCTGTTTTAGTGACAATAATGTGATTATTCATCATTGTGAATTGCCACTTGCAACCCATTTCATTTAATATACTGAAACAGAATATTAAACAAGAAAAATGCATGGCTGAACTTGGTTTTATTTGTTTATTGGGATCTGATTCCCAATCATTAATTTATTGGGATCTGATTCCCAATCGTGAAAACTGCAGTACTTAGACGAACGGAGCCAGATCGAATATGAGTTTGAAGAGCAGCAAATTAAAAAAGTAAAAACATGAATTGAAATATGTAATTTTTATTTTCATATGTAAAAATATGTGTTGAACAACTGCATGCCAGCAGCTATTAACTTTGTAGACAATCCACGTTTGAACCCACTATGCACAGCTCCATCTGGTTGGGAGTTTGAAGCAAAACGGTGCATTTTATTGTACTTTTTAAAATGGATAGACTCTTGATTTATATTTTGGCTCCCAAAAGGTAGCTGACCAAACCTCAATCTGCGATTTTAAACATTCTTATTTATGATAGTCTGTATTTCTTTTTCACAACCCCTACTGCAATTACAAGTGAGTGATGAATCATTGGGATCTGGGACAGTCAGTGATGCCTCTTTAATGGCCTGCCAGGTGATTGAAATTTATCTCAGTTTCAACCTACAAACAACTATGATTAGATCCTTCAGACTACTCTTTCTGTAAAATGTATTACTGCAGATGGTGCATGGTAATAAGATTATATAGATAGATAGATAGATAGATTTGTTGTGGTTTTCTGTGTGCTCAGTGTTGAATCATTAATCCATCAAAGGATTAAGTTCTTGAGCAGAGCTGCAAACGGATCACTGTGCAAGTGCAAGACAAACTGTCATTAGTATCAGAATGGCCCAAAGTGTCACGCCACTGCAAAGACTAAAGTTCAACAACGTTGCATTGAAAAAACTCCCGTTGAATTCGTCACTAGAACCGGGCTCACGGACCGTGACGGGAGCGTGTTTTTCCCGTGTTCAGCCGCAGCCGCAGCCTCCGCTCAAGCCCACATTCGTCGCGGTATCAGAAGCGGCTCTTGCTTTACTGGGACTGAACGCGGACGATGTTTTATGTGACCCGCACGGGGCTGAATATCTAAGCGGCTCTCGGATGATTCCGGGCTCTGAGCCCGCTGCGCACTGCTACTGCGGACACCAGTTTGGTCATCTCGCCGGGCAGCTGTGACGGTGCTGTGTGTTATCTGGGGGAGGTGGAGGCCGGTGCTGAGCAAAGTTCTAACCCGATCAGCACAAGCCCCTGTGGTCGGTGGGAAATTCAGGTTAAAGGCGCTGGACTGACGCCTTATTCTCGGTACCGTTGCTTTGGCTTCACTGCATTAAGTAATAGGTTACTCTTTATTTCCCTTTGTCCTTGTTACAGTGTAATTATACATTTAAGTACTGATTAATTTTAATTAACTACATGTTGTTAGGGTTAGAATGAGGGTTTTGTTTATTGTTAGTTGCATGTAATTATGCATAATTTATTGTTATTACTATAGGAAGTACATGTAACATGTATATCAATAACACCTTAATATCCACTATTAAGTGTAATAATACTTAAAAGGTAGATAAATGCTTTTTGCATTTTGGTCTGTTAAAAATAATAAGAAATTTATTATGCATAAATGAATTGCAAAGATATACAATTTTTATTAAAAAGAAAAGCCATAATTTAGGCTTTAAGAAGTTTTAATATTTGTTTATTTTATATGTAAGTAGGTTTATGTAATGCATTGTGTTAACCAAAAGCATATGTTCTCTACAGAAGACAAAAATGAAATGTATTTTTCCAACATTAAACATTGTGCCACACTCCCATTTTACCGGTACTCTCCAAAAAGTATTTTTTGGATTGAAACAGTGTAATTCTTAAGAACATGACTTATGTGTTGTATGTGGATTTTATAATCTTAACAATGGCTAGATTGTGGTCTAACTCAAGTTGATCTCTCTTTCACTATGAATAATGAGCCAAAATCCACTCTTAACCCATAACAATAGATGTATTCATCTACCTTGAAATCCTAAAAGGGATAGTTCACACAAAATAAAAATTATTTCATTCAAGTTGTTCCAAACCTGTTGATCACAAAAGAAAATATTTTGAAGAGTTTAACCAAACAGTTGCTGGTAGCCATTAACCAACAAAAATGGGTAAAAAATGTCCATGTGCTTTGTTTTAAAAAAAATAAGCTTTAGTATCTGTGTATACTGTAGGCAGTCTGATGGGCGTAAAGTGCTCCGCTCCAGCATTCGAGAGTTCCTGTGCAGTGAGGCCATGCTTGCATTGGGAATTCCCACAACACCAGCGGGATCACTGGTGACCTCTGACCTTTATGTCCAGAGGGATGCGTTCTACAGTGGCAATCCCAGACCAGAGAGGTGCTCAGTGGTTCTCAGAATAGCACCCACCTTTATCAGGTTGAGCAATTCTATTTATATCTATCCTCAGACACACATAGAAATTAATTTCTCACATTACGTTTCCATAATCCCAAGTTGTAAAAATGAATTTTGTAAAAATGAAGTTCAAAATCCTGAAGTTTGCTAAATAAAGAAACTATTTATTGAATTGTGCAGCCTTAATACTGGGTTTAGTGTCAGCAAAGGATGTAGAGAAGCTGTTTAAGGGTCCACACTGAGATGTGATAGATCTCTCACAAGGCCTTTTTTAGATGTTACTCATGTCCAAGCTAGTCCAAGTATTTTAGAGTATACAGAATAAAGTCTTAATACCTAAATACTACCATCTACCGTTTGAATATATCCCTAAAAATATTTTTTGGCTCTGAATTATGATATCTACTGAAATTGGTCTGCACTTTTAGTTTCATTAAATTGTACTGAATGTTAGCACTGTACCCTGACTCATAACTCTCTATATTTCTCACCAGATTTGGCTCGTTTGAGATCTTCCACCCTGTGGATGACTTCACAGGTAGACATGGCCCTAGTGTTGGACGTACTGATATTCGTGCACAAATTCTGGATTATGTCATTGAAACATTCTACCCTGAAATACAACGAAGACATTTAGATCGCCAAGAGAGGAATGCTTCCTTCTTCAGAGAGGTTTTAACAATAATATACATTTTAAAAACAAGCTTCACTTTATCACTATTACCTTAAAACAAGAATTTGTATGTACTCTCTTAAAAATAGACATTCCAAAAAGGAGTTTTCACAGCAATACCATAGAAGAACCATTTTGGTTCCCTAAAGAACCTTTCAGTGAATAGTTCATAATATAACCTTATTTTATTAGTGTGTAGAACATTTTAATAATCAAAAGAACCTTTTCCCACTATAAAAACCTTATTTTTATATTATTTTATATTCTGTGGAACTGCAAGGTGACCGTGAGGACTGCCAAACTGGTTGCCCTGTGGCAAAGTGTGGGATTTTGCCATGGAGTTCTCAACACAGACAACATGAGCATCTTGGGACTCACTATAGACTATGGCCCATTTGGCTTCATGGACAGGTTTGTTTAGCTCTACAGAAACTGTGCTTTAAATTGCACAAAAATGCAATAAATGCAACCGAATTACATCCTGAAAGAAGTTGTGCTTTTACTAATTGCTTGGTTTATTAGTGTATTCTAAAAACCTACATTGTTGTTATTTGCAGGTTTGACCCTGAGTTTGTGAGCAATGCCTCTGATAAGAAAGGCCGTTATTCTTATGAAGCTCAGCCATATGTCTGCCGCTGGAACTTGGCACGTTTGGCAGAAGCTCTTGGCACGGAGCTCCAGTCAGCCAAAGCAGGGACCATTTTAGATGAGTTCATGACCATTTATCAGGACTGCTACCTGGACATCATGAGGAGGAAGCTGGGTCTTCTGAGACAACAACAACCAGAGGATGTGGAGCTGGTGGCTGATTTATTGAAGACTATGCACATCACAGGTATAGTGAGAGTGAGGAGATATTTCCGGTTTTCCGTTGAATAAAAATGGAAAGTTGGATGGAAGTTGACTCAGATTACTCAAAAACAAATTACTTACCTAATATTTTCATCTATTGCTGCTCCAGGTGCAGACTTCACAAACACATTTCGTCTGCTGAGTGCCGTGTCCTGTCCTGCAGGTGAACAGAAAGACAGGGACAGCACAGACTCAGTAGTGGAACTGATCGTGGGACAGTGTGCCTCGCTGGAAGAACTAAAGGTGGCTAATCATCTTACAATGCAGCCCGGGTGAGGGGATCTGCACCCTCTCAGGGTCTAATCTTCATACTAATAAACAATTTAATGTATTTTTCACCAGTTTATGCATATCGACAAATATGCCGTTTTTATTTTTATTTTCAGACTGTGAAGTGCAAGAATCTATTGTTTTGAGCAAAAGTTACCAAAATTTCATTTCCCTGTACTCTGCATTCTTCTCTTAATGTGATGCTGTCAGCACGTTGCAAGAAAGACAAGGCAAGAGAATTGGTATGTTGTCTGAATGAATTTGCATTGGTTTGTCTCTAGCGACTTTTAAAACAGAGCTGAAAAAGCATTATGAGCTCTAAACAGGTAAATCTGAGTGTCACTGAGTGTAAAAATATTTATGCACAATTACTTTTCACAATTATTTGTTATTTGTATGCCCTAGTATTTCTTATTCATTATGTCCTAAGTTTATTTATTTATTAAGACCAGTGCAATTTACTATCGTTGAAATATTATGAGAGTTTTTATTAATACATTGAATCAGTTTTTATTTTCATTTTACTTTTCATTTAAATATTATTTTTGGTAAAATTGTCATCATTAAAGGGGTCATATGATGCTTTTTTAAAGATCATTATTTTGTGTATTTGGTGTAACAGAATATGTTGACATTTTTTTTTTTAATGTATGCATATATTGTTTTTTATTCATTTTTTTTTCGGTTTTAGTTATTTTAGTATATCAAGTTAAACTAAATTAAAATGTTGCCTTTTAACTAGCTTAAATGTTTTATTTTATTTCAGTTAACGTTTATTTCAAGTAAAGAACATTTTTATGGTTTTAGTTTTAGTTACAGTAACTGTGATTGTTGAACCATGGTTGAGAGAGACCCCTCATAATTTCTTATGTTCAAAAGTAAAAAGGAGTTTTGGAGATACTTAACACCTATACTATGTTTTCCTTATTTTCTTTCATTTGTTGTACCTCTGTGTCCATTCTTAGTGAGTTGAAGATGATTCTCTCCACGGCTGAGACAAATCCAGGTATGTTCAACATGGTAGCCAATCAGCCAGAGGTCGCCAAGCAACTGGAAAAGATTGGCAGGCTGAAGGAGCTTCTCGTAATCAATGAGGTGGAGCTAAAAATAAAGCAGAGATATCATTGGCAGAGATGGGTCAAACAATACAGGTATAAATACATATTCAAGATTCAAGCTCTTTATTTTCATGTATACTAGGTACAAATTCTTATTTTGTTAATAAATAAATATAAATGAATATACAAGTTTTAATGACTTATTAAATTACCATGAATTGAAAGTCCAAGGCTTTTGATATTTATGGTCACCACGTTAGGAGACGTCTGGCTCATGAATGTGACGAAGTGAGTGACCCTGCTGCAGTAGAGAAAGAACGGGTCAGATCTATGAACTCCACCAATCCTGCTGTTGTACTACGGAATTACATTGCCCAGAATGCAATTGAAGCAGCTGAAAGGGGTGATTTTTCAGAGGTCAGAGGTCATGATTGAAATGCAATAATTTAAACAATGACATTTTGTGGTGTATTCATCTAAAAAAAAAAAACTTTTCAGGTTCAACAGCTGCTTAAAGTTTTGGAGAACCCTTATTCGGTCAGTGTGGATCTGGAGCGTCCAGTATGGTCAGCAGGAAGTGGGTCAGTCCAAGCTGATGGCAACAGCATTAAGGGACAGGAAGTTAAGGAGAACACAAAAAGAAAAGCAGCAGCTGATACTCACCAGATTCCATATAACAGTAAACCTCCTGCATGGGCCAGAACGATCTGTGTCACATGATCATCCTAAAGCCTCCCAAACATCACAGCCCAATCCAATACAGAAAGAAAGCCAGAGAAAATGTAGAACATTCTCTTTTGAGTTTCTCTGTATTGATCAGGTATGTTAGTGTTGAGGGAGGCTGAGCAACACAGAGCACTCCTGGTCAGATAATGCAGAAATGGCCATATGTCAATAGGTACAATAAATGAGGCATACTTTTTTATAATTAAAAAAAAAAATTTTATGACTATGACATTTAGAAACTGATTAAATTGTTCATATTTTAATTTCACCTCAGTTAATTCTGCAATTATCTGATCAATGAAGATTCAGATGTTCAGCTTAGCAGGCCTGTCTGAGTTTGAAAAACAAGGAGTATCTTGTGCACACATACAAACATACATACTCTTTAATTATGCATTTATCACTTAATTTCACCCTAAATTTTACTAGCTTCCACGTTTTTCAAAACACAAAGTAGAAGTTTAACAGAATGTCCAAGCTGTTGTTTTGCATAGGCTACAGTGAAAGTGGTTGCCTTGCTTATATTGTCAAGCTCCAAAAAGCACTATAAAAGTAGTCTGTGAAAGTCTTCTAAGGTCTGCCATACTATACATTTTGTGATTTTGTGAGAGGCATATTCAATTAAAAACTGATATATAAAAGCAAATAGATTTAGCCACAAATCAGTCAGTCAGTTCACTTGATTTTGTTTAAACGTTCTTTTTTTTTACAATATTTTCTATAATAAATTTAGTCTTAATATCATGTTTGTATGTTTGTTTGTTTTTTGCCTCTTGCTGTTCACAATTTTACATTAGGCCATTATTCACAAGTAGTTGGACTCAGTATTAACAAACAAACCACATTACAAAATGAGATCTAAATGTCATTGAGATGAGTTTAATCATTAACTTCATCCGAACACTGTGATTCTAGTAACAGTATACAACTGCCTAGCCGTAAGAGTTCTGTATGTACATTTCTGATATAACAAAAGATGAACATGATTACACATACATGTGTAGCCTAAAATTGAAAGGCTGAAGACATTATAGTTTTTGTGATTCAAAGTTCTTTGCATTATTTATTCAGTAAAGCAAATTGTTCTAAAACCCCTAAATGTTATTTGAATAATATTCAAAGCAGCTAATTAGTGTGAGCCATGGATTTCACACTGGATATGCTTCAATAATATTCAAGGCAAATATACAGTTGAATGGATGAATGGATTAAAAAGATCTGGAACTTATTTCACAGCGGTAAATATAACTGTCTGTCTTAAACTACTTTTAATAATTTTAATAATAATATCACAGTAAAGCAATGTGTTTTAGGAATTGCAAAAGTCAAAATGGCTACATCTCAGAATTAATATTTGTCAGGTGCATCACACATGTTTTGAGTATGTGGAATCAGCACCTTACTGGGACAAAAAGAGACACAAAAGGAGAATTTTACATTCACATTTATTAGAGTAGTTGTCGTATAATACTACTTTACGAGCAGATTATGCCGTAATCTCTCCATAAACAAAACAACAGGCTTCACAATAATAGCTGAGTAACTGAAGTCCCTACTGATGAAGCTCTTTTGCATGTATTACAAGAATGTACAATTTTAAGATCTCAGTGGTCATTAGTTAAATGAAAATGTGGTTATTAAATCAGACTATAATTTGCCTAAAGACTATAACATGAAAAAATTCCTGGCCTTTCTATATAGATTCTCTGTAAAAGGACAGATGAAAATACTGCATTAGCACAAGTGAAATTTAAGACCTGGGGATCATGAAGGATTAGTGGTCAAATTGAAGACTGAATGCAAAGTTACTTACTTAGTAAAGCAAATCTAAGAGATTTTAGATGCAATTTGAATTGTACTCAAAGCAGCATGATGCATGAGACACGCTTCATTTCAGCCGGGCAGTTGCAAAATATACAATGAATGACTATATGCTATGTTTCAAATAAATATATGTGTACCCCAAATTTGCTTCAGGAATGTACTTGTGTACTATATGAACCTTAAATGCTTTTGCTTTTTGATGCCATGCTTATTTGTGAGACACATTTGATTTCACCTTCTTGGACTTATAGTAAAAAGGTTTTGTTGAAGTCAGTGGGAGGAACCAGAGCCAAACAGATTTAACCAACCTCAACCTCAATCTCAAATCTATGTCCTAACATGGAGTAGGAGGCAACCTCAACATTTAAATATGCCTGATTCTAATAATGTGCTTTAACAAGAGTGGACCTGCTAATTTAGGGACAGAAAAACAAAAGCAGAAGTGAACATTGCAGGTGAGTTTCAAAATTGCACTTCAAAAATACAATTTTAGTGATTGTTTTTGTGCATATGGATTTTGATAATATAACATAGCATCTATTTTTGTATTTCTTGCTGGTGTCAACATTAATATTAATGACTGGTTTATGTCATTTTGTGTTATAAAGATTTGTAGGAGTGGAAATTGTTTGCAATTTTCCAGTCAAATCCAGTGGTGTCCATCTATTTAGTGACAAGCTACAATGTTGCTCATTCTATTTTTGAGTAAGTATCAATACTAACACAAACAAGCATATTTTTACAGACAATGCCAGTGTTTTTAACTCTTAATTTCTTTACATTTTTTTCTGTAACATGAAGTTCTAGGCAATACCATTTCAAGTACGTCCGAACCAGTCAGACTGGTAAATGGCAACAACTCTTGTTCTGGAAGATTGGAGGTTTTCTATAACGATCAGTGGGGAACAGTGTGTGATGATGGCTGGGATCTATCAGATGCAGCAGTGGTGTGTAGAGAGATGGGCTGTGGGGATGCTATTGAGGCAAAGAGTGGTGCTTATTTCAGACCAGGTGGGGGACAAGTATCAATGAGCGATATTGGGTGTGTTGAAAATGAGCCTACGTTGAGCAGTTGCAGCTCTAAGAAAGCGGGAGAGTTTTACTGTGACCATTCAAAAGATGCTGGAATCGTCTGTCGCTGTAAGTTGCTGGTATTTCACTTGAAATAAAGGCTGTTATGTTTCTGTATGCAATTAATAATTTTTTCTGATTCTGATGTCTGCTCTGTGTGGACATTAGCCCTTGTCAGATTGGTGAATGGCAGTCACTCCTGTTCTGGACGAGTGGAGGTTTTCAATGGCGGTCAGTGGGGAACAGTGTGCGATAATGGCTGGGATTATTCAGATGCTGCAGTAATATGTAAAGAAATGGGCTGTGGGAATGTTTTCGAGCAAAGGATCGGTGGTTTTTTTGGCCAGGGATTAGGACCAGTATGGCTGAGTGATGTACAATGTTATAACTCTGAAACGAATCTGAGACGCTGTAATTTTCAGGGATGGGGACAAAACTTGTGTGGACATGAGAAGGATGCTACAGTCGCCTGTAAACGTGAGTATAAAATCTTTTACACAAAATTTTAAGGGTGATGTGCAGCATTTGTGGCATGCAGTTGATTACCACAGAAAATTATTTTTCTTTTTTTACTATTTTCTTTTTACGTTTTCACGACACCAAGCAGGCAAGCTTATATGTTTGTTAAATCACTTACATGAATTATTCTGTAAATAAATGAATAATAGCAACATAATTCGAGTGGATAGAATTTGGTTCATTTACATCATGCCACAAATGCTGTGCATAAAAATTTGTTGTAAATTATCCAGAATATTTCTTGACTCACAAATTTTATTTTATATGAAATTGAGAAAGCGCATCAGATATAATCCACCGACAACAGCTCTCATTATGTCGTTATTCAGGCAGAATTAACCTGGAAAATGGCTTCAATGCTTGCTCTGGAAGAGTGGAGATTTTTAATCGCTGGGGAAACACTAATTGGGGAACTGTGTGTGGTGATGGCTGGGATCTATCAGAGGCTGCAGTGGTGTGTAGGGAGATGGGATGTGGGGATGCTATAGCGGCAAAGGGTGCTGCTTATTTCGGGCAGGGACCGCACTGGTATCCAGTATGGTTGGATGATATCAACTGCATTGGCAATGAGCTCACACTCGCTGCCTGTGAGTCCAAACAAATAGAAGATTTCCAGTTGCATTACAAGGATGCTGGTGTTATCTGTCAATGTAAGTTGCTCTATTGCCATTCATGTAAGAATACTGAAAAGAAAATATTGTCAGTGAATAGTAGTTCACTCAAAAATGAAAAACTTTTGTCATCATTTAACCCCAGGCTGCTACAGGTCCATTATTATGTTTATGATGACATTGCATTAAATTTGTGGGGGAAAATAGAATAAAGATTCTGTTCTGTATTTAGGTAAACTATCCTAATATTTTTTTAATAGCTTGTTTCTTAATCTTTCATCTGTCTGGCCATTAGCTCTTGTTAAGCTGGTGAATGGCACTAACTCTTGCTCTGGACGAGTTGAAGTTTTCTTTGATGGCCAGTGGGGAACAGTGTGTGATGATGGCTGGGATCAGTCAGATGCTGCAGTGGTGTGCAGAGAGATGGGCTGTGGGGATGCTATTGAGGCAAAGAGTGCTGCTTATTTTGGACAAGGATCTGGACTCGTATGGCTAAGTGATTTACAGTGTGCCAGTTACTCTACTCTGAGAAACTGTAATTCAAAGGGATGGGGGCAAAACAGCTGTGGACATGAGAAGGATGCTGGAGTTGCCTGTCAACGTGAGTACAAAACCAAAAAATGATCAGTATAAACTTTATCATATTTTGTCCACTGGTAATACATTTTTGTGGGCATTAGTTAACATCAGACTGGTGAATGGCATCTCCTCTTGTTCTGGACGAGTGGAGGTTTTTCGTGATGGTCAGTGGGGAACCGTGTTTGATGATGGCTGGGATCTAACAGATGCTGCAGTGGTGTGTAGAGAGATGGGATGTGGAGATGCTATAGAGGCAATAGGTGGTGCTTATTTTGGACAAGGTGCAGGACAAATATTTATGGGCAGTGTAAACTGTCTTGGAAATGAGACCATACTCAGTGCTTGTGAATCACGTAGAAAAGGAATGTATGACCATTCAAAGGATGCTGGAGTCATCTGTGACCGTAAGTGAAATCTAGTTTTCTACACTGTCTCTTTCATTTTAATGCATGTAAAAAAAATAGTGATTAAAGGAATAATTCACCCAAAAATGAAAGTTTGCTGAAAATTTACTTACCCCCAGGTCATCTAAAATGTAGATGAGTTTGTTTCTTCATCAGAACAGATGTGGAGAACTCTGCAGTGAATGGGTGCTGTCAGAATGAGAGTTCAAACAGCTGATAAAAACATCACAATAATACACAAGTCTGGACAAAATGTGAGTCCAGAATCCATAATAACACTTCCTCCAGTGGAAAAAGTCCATCCCCTGTTGTCTACTCACATCAAAAAGTTTTCACTTGTAAATGGTGCTTGATCTTTGCATATTTCTCTCCTGATTCAGAAGACATTACTTTTTCACTGGCGAAAGCAATATTATGAATTCTGGATATTTTAGCTGGAAGCAGTGGTTTGAAGTTGTAAACATTTTAATGGTTTACTTGTTTCTTACAAACATCCAGCTTTTGTTTTACAAGACATTAATTGATGGACTGGAGTTGTGTGGATTATTGTGATGTTTTTATCAACTGTTTGGACTCTCATTCTGACGGCACCCATTCACTGCAGAGGATCCATTGGTGAGCAAGTAGTATCTAAACTGGTTCTAATGAAGAAACAAACTCGTCTACATATTGGATGGCCTGAGGGTGAGTAAATTTTTAGCAAAATTCCATTTGTGGGTGAAACATTTCTTTAATGCAGCCATGTGTGGGACTTTGACCTACAAAAGAAGACAGTCAATTAATAGTCATTGTAAATGGAGAAAACATTGTGTTTAAGTAGTTAATGTGTTTCTTTTACTTTCATTTATGTGGCTGTTAGCTTCTCTCAGGCTCGTTAATGGACACAACTCTTGCTTTGGAAGAGTGGAGGTTCTTTATAATGGAATATGGGGAACAGTGTGTGATAATGGCTGGGATCTATCAGATGCTGCAGCGGTGTGTAGAGAGATGGGCTGTGGGGATGTGATCGAGGCGAAGAGCTCTGCTCATTTCGGTCAGGGATCAGGGCCTGTATGGATAAGTGATTTACAATGTTCTGACACTAACTCAAGACTAAGAGGTTGTCAATCAAGTGGATGGGGAAGAGGCACTTGTGGACATGAGAAAGATGCAGGAGTCATCTGTAAGGGTGAGTTCAAACCTTTTAACAGCAAACGATGTAGTCAGTATAGGACTGAAGTGATTGTATATGTGCTTTATGGTCAAACTATCATTATATATATAAACTTTCTTCTATTGTGTGATCAATAGATAACGTTAGGCTGGTCAACAGCACCAACTCCTGTTATGGACGAGTGGAGGTTCTTCGTGCCGGTCAGTGGGGAACAGTGTGTGATGATGGATGGGATGCATCAGATGCTGCAGTGGTGTGTAGACAACTGGGCTGTGGAACAGTTTTGGAAGTAAAGAATGCGGCTTATTTTGGAAAGGGTTCAGGACCAATTTGGATGAATAATATAAACTGTTTTGGGAATGAGGCTACATTGATGAGCTGTTCATATAATGCAACTCCAAACAGATGTGACCATGAGAAAGATGCCGGAGTCATTTGTGGATGTAAGTGCCAATGCTTTCATTTTAGTGAGTGAGGTAATATAGCAATGTGTTTTCTTCATGGAGACATTGATGACTTTTGATTTGATGATTTTGGTACCAAAAAATACCCAAAATGCCCATGAAATGTCATGCTCAAATATGCTGGTAACATGTAGGCTTTAAAGAACAATGGATGCTCTTTAAAGCCTACATCCACGTGAAAAAAAGTTTGTTATACTGGTGCATTTGAGCAAGAAATCTAATTTTTCACACTTTCTCACATTCACTCAGCTGTTAAAGTCCTGTTGAGGGTTGAAGTGAAGGCTAACCTTGGAGTTGACCCAAACACTGCTGGAATCATAAATAAACTTTCAGAAGAGGTAAGAGTAGTGGAACGAGTGACATTAAGCTGTATCTTTCACTACTTTTTGCTGTCATCTACTGGCTGTTTGTGTTATTATTCTGTTCTCTGTATTTACATTCATTTGAATCTCATAGATTGGGAAGAAGCTACGAATAAATGGGACTTTCTCACTGAAAACTCAGACAGATGGAAATATCTTCCATAAGAGAATAGGGGCTTCACCCTGATGAATTGGTAAGACATTAACCTTAGCTTTAAAACTAAAGTTTAAATCTTTAATTTAATATTTTCCACAATAACAATGTACAGTGATGTTGGTTCCTCAGGTCATTTCTGGAATACAGAGAAGAAAACAAGCTAACACTATCTAATAGGACATTGATTGCTTCATCCTTCTTTCAGTCTGACCTTTGTAAATGAAATTAATAATTATCTTACATATTTTTCCATATGACAATGCTTTATATAATATCCTTGTATTTTTTTTCCAATGACGATGTAAGCGTAATATTTGTGTTTAGATACTGACAGTGTTTTGATACTGATAAAGTATCTTTGTGTCACATCCTAACTTGCTAAATTTCAATTTAATATATTTTGTAATCAATGTAATAGCCAATATTGTACATATATTTTCAATATAAACCAGTCTGGAGCTAAATGAATGAAAATATTATAACAGTATGCTTAATAATAATTTCATTTAATTCAATTCCATTTACATACTATATATAGTTGCATAATAAACATAGATAAAGTGTGATTAAAGAATTTCTGGATGTTGTCTTTGTAGTAATTTTTGTCTTGTTTTACAGAAAAAAATACTTATGCTTAAAAAGTATTTACGTTGTGACTACTGTTACCTTGTTAATGTAGGTATGGTACCATTTTACCATATTTAGGTAATTCAGTTGCTTAGTTTTTGAAACAAAAATAAATCTTTTTAACCATGACAAAAGCATCCGGGCTTGTAGTTGGTGAGCCGGTTTCTCCAAAGTATTTTCAGGATACTTAAAAGTTTTGTAAACCATTTGCAATGGGTAATGATCTGAGACAGACACGTGCATGTATTTAGCAGGAAAAGCAACCTATCCCAATTCAAAAACAGGGTGAAGGCCTGACCATGCATAATAGCATAAAGCCAAAAATTAATTTTGAAACATGGAATGGCTTAAGAATGCATGGAATAAAGCAAACAAGTCTTATTATGGTACTTGTTTGGCCCTAAATAATACAGGATTATTTGTGGAAGGTAAATATTCAAAAGGTTCACAGTTTGCATCCTGTTAATGGGGCCTGTCAGAGTAATTAGGGAGGAAAAACTCATTTGAACAACCAAACAAAATGGAAAAAATGAACAGCCTTCTGTTTGATGCCATTGTTATTTGTTTGCAAAAGTTCGAGCAGAATTAAACTTTTTGGTTACTTTAAGCAATTCAGTCAGTTCCAAACAATGACAATGACCTTGATTGGGGACCCTTAAAACCCAGCATTATGAAAGACAAAAACAAGTTGACTATCATTGCCTTATATTTTCGTTTATGTCTAACCTGTTTGCATAGGTCATGGCTTTCTTCTAAAGTGCAATTTGCTGACTTCTACACCTGTTGCATATGTGATTTATAATGCAAATATATGTAAAATAATAACCTGAAAAGGTGAGATTATTTGTCAGGGTCATCTGAAGGGAGGAGACAGGTGGGCTAGAGGTTGTACCTCTAGATAAATGCACACTAAATCTCCAACATACAAACTTATATTTCAGATCCAGAAGGAAAACAGCAGCATACATGGGACACTTCAAAAGGTTTGAACCCCTTAGCCATATTTTGAACTTCCTGTCTTTATTTTACTATTTCTATTTGTCTGCTAAATTAATAAATGTAAATGCTTATTAATTTGTTCCATCTCAAAGTATGATTGCTTTGAGGTATGATTCACTGCAAATTTTCAAGTTGACAATAGAATTAGAAAAATGGTAATGATTTGTAATATCCTCCTTATAAGTATTTTTAAACATATAGCCTAGAAGAAGGATTTTAGGATTTACATTTATATTTATGGCTTTATAAGGAAGTCTAAATAAGAAACTTTGGTAACACCTTACTTAAAGCCTTTATGTAATATAATACCTTTATAAACCATTATAAAGGTATTTATAATGTATGTTATAATATCTTTTATCTTCTCATAAATAATTGTAACCAAAGTTAAAATGTATTATAGCCTAATATTTGCAGGTTCCTTGTTCCTTCTGAAATTGGTTGTTTGTCATCTATTTTAATGAAATATACTTTCTAAAGGTGTAACATACAATAGGTATTATAATGTATTATTAATGTGGTTATAATTATTCAAGATCATACAATACATTGTAAGGTGCATTACAAGGCATTAAAAATATTTCATAATGCATTAGCCTAAAGGCTTTAAGTAAATTCTTACAGAAACTATAGTTATCTTCTTGTTTTTTTATATTAATTAGGGTAATGTTAAAAGTAACATTATTTATTGAAATCAGCTATTGTTGCTCTCAATTACTCAGACATATCTTTTAGCATTATCATCTTTCTTATAGTTTCTTTACAGCAGCGCAGCTGTGTACCATATGGCTCATTTTCCTTCAAAGTAAGAGCTCAAACACAGCTCATACTTATAAGCAGCTTATTTTCGCCTTGCATATTGCATAATATAATTGTGATTCTCAATGTTTTTTCTCTCCTGCCAAGCAGTTTTGGGAAATTTCACGTCAGGCGAGGCTTCTTCAGTCAGACTCGTTGACGGCAGCAGCTCTTGTTCGGGAAGAGTGCAGGTTCTCCACGATGGAATATGGGGAACGGTGTGTTACAATGGCTGGGATTTGTTAGACGCAAATGTCGTGTGTAGTGAGTTGGGCTGTGGGGAAGCGAAAGAGGTGAAGTTAGCGGAATATTTTGGCAAGAGCTCAGGACAAATATGGTTGACTAAGGTGAAATGTTTCGGGAACGAGTCTTCACTGACAGAATGTCCAGTGGGTGAAGCGGACAAATGGGGACAAGTCATGTGCCTTCTTGACATGTATGCTGGAGTCATCTGTCAGAGTGAGTACAAAACCTTTTACAGTTTAACCGCATACCATGTGCTCAAAGTTTTCATGCTCTTGTTGTTTCTTATTCATGTGTCTGATCAGCCAGAACCAGGCTGGTGAGTGGCATAAACTCTTGTTCCGGACGAGTGCAGGTTCTTTATAATGGGACCTGGGGAACAGTGTGTGATGATGGCTGGGATCTGTCTGAAGCTGAAGTGGTGTGTAGAGAGATAGGCTGTGGGGATGCCATCGAGGTGAAGAGTTCTGCTTATTTTGGAGAAGGTTCAGGACAAATATGGATGGATAATGTAAACTGCTCTGGAAATGAGTCTGCATTGAGCAAATGTGAATATCATGAATTGGAATTGAATGACTGCAATCATTCCGAGGATGTTGGAGTCATCTGTCAGTGTAAGTCAGTGTAAATTAAAATAGCAACTTTTTTATCTCACAAGTCTGACTTTTTTCTTGCAATTCTGAGAAAAAAAGAATCGCGAGGTAGAAACTCAGAATTGTGAGATATAAATGCAGAATTGTGAGATATAAACCTGCAATTCTGAGGGGGAAAAGTCAGAATTGTGAGATACAATACAAAAATATTAAACTCAAAATTAATAGAATTGTGAGATATTGCGAGAAAAAAGGTCAGGCAGTTCTGAGAAAAAAAAGCCAGAATTGTGAGATTTAAACTCAGAATTGCAAGAAAAAGTATGAATTGTGAGGAAGCCACAATAATTTTTAAATTTTTTATTCCTTGGCAGAAATGGGCTTCCATAGCTTTTTGTATTGTATTTCTAACTGGAATTTTTAAGGTAAACGACAATCAATATGATTGTAATTGCTTGCTGTTTCTTTTGTTTTCTTCTGCATGGTCATTAGCTGTTATGAGGCTGGTAGAAGGCTTTGACGATTGTTCTGGAAGAGTGGAGGTTCTCCATAATGGAAAATGGGGAACCGTGTGTGATTATAAATGGGATGGATCAGATGGCGCAGTGGTATGTAAAGAGATGGGCTGTGGGAATATTAAAGTATTAACATATGGTGCTTATTTTGGAGCCACATCAGGACAAATATGGATGGGCAATGTAAACTGCAATGGAGAAGAGGCAGCTCTGAGCACCTGTGCAATTCAGGGATGGGGAACACATAAATGTTTTTTTGCAGAGCACGCTGGAGTCATATGTGGCCGTGAGTTGAAAATTGTAAATTCATGTTAAAGTTAAAACAAAATTGTGTCATTATTTGCTCATACATTTGAGAAGGTTCTTTTAATATCAACAAATCATGAAAGTTTTTCATGTTTTTTGTTCTTTTCATCGGTGTTGCCATTAGTCCCTGTCAGGCTGGTGAATGGTAATAGCTCTTGTTCTGGACGAGTGGAGGTTCTTCATGACGGTCAGTGGGGAACAGTATCTGATGATGGCTGGAATCTAACAGATGCTGCAGTGGTTTGTAGAGAACTGGGCTGTGGAGATGTTATAAAGGCAAAAGGTGGTGCTTATTTTGGACAGGGATCTGGCCCAGTATGGATGAATTCTGTTGACTGTGTAGGGAAAGAGTCTTCATTGATACAATGTAACATAGATCACTGGCAGCACAACAACCTCGATCACCTGCACGATGCTGGAGTCATCTGCAGTGGTGAGTGCCAATCGAATTTTAATATTCACATATTCATATTTAAATCTTGAAATAATTGAAGTAAAGCTGATGTGTTTTTGTGTGCAAATCTATATGGCATTACATAAATAAATTCTACATCAGTAAACTAAAATTGTTTGATTGTTGAGGTTTTGCTCTTCCTTCCTATAATTTGTTTTTACACAAATTACGTGTATTTTTTTTACACTTGAATTGTATGCTTGAAGAAACTAAAGTAATATTATTTTATATAATATTTATGTATTTGTGTAATATATTTTCATGAATAAAAAATTATAAAAGAATAAATATAACAAATAATTGTAATGATTTATTATACAGAAATATTTAATTTTACCTCTTTGACACTGCTCTTTAGAGCCCTATTCCATAAACAGAGGGTCTGTCCAGGGCTTAGACACAAGTGTTAAAGTCCTGTTGAGGATTGAGGTAAAGACCGACCCCATGTTCGACCCAAACGTTCATAAAACCATGAGTAAACTCTCAGAGGAGGTGAGAGCAGTGACAAGAGTAACAATGAGCTGCATTTTTCTGCTGTTGTTACAATGTTAATATAATTGATTCTCTGTATTTACATTCACTTGAATCTCATAGATGGAGAAGAAGCTGCATATAAGCGGACCTTTCTCACTGACTTGGAAAACTCAGAAAGATGGAAAAGTCTTCCAAGAGGTCTCCCAGAAAAAGAAGCCTGCAAGAAAATGTAACTGACTTGCTGGATAATATATTGTTATTGTATTGAAATTGTAGTTGTAATGAGATGTTTCATTTAAAATGTAGAATATTTTTTGACATTTCCACAGGTTATTGGTGGAAAAAAACAGCTTTCTAATTTTT